TTAAATAAAGGACAATGGGTGACGAACACTGAACCACAGTTTATTGCTAAAGAATCGGTTAGCTCACTCGGACTAGCGAGGTGACACTTTGGCGCCCACATGTGCGTATCGAAATGCAATAAAAAAGGATCATCAAAATTAAATTTCACACTAGTTACATTCAACTATGACACCTTTTAATTTAAGAAAATAACTTTAAAATGATTTTTTATTAATACGCAGCTGAAACAAATGTTCCAATAATAATAATTATTAAAATAGCGTGTTGTTAATAAAATATAATATAATTTATCGTAGTACGCCCGTGGGAAACGTGACGTAGAATGCTTGAAATTGACAGTTTGGCGTCCAAATTGACATGCGCACCGACAGTTTTTTTTTTTTCACCCATGTCGTCTTAGAAATTGGGAGTAGGTTTATGTCATATAACCATCCAGTCACATACTTTGATTACTATACGGGGAAAGAGAGAGGTCCGACACGCCCAACATAGGGCGCGGCCATTTTGAACCCTATGACACAGTTTATAGCTAAAGAATCAGATCGCTCACTCTGCGTCGGCACTTTTTATCTCAATGTTCCAGTTTATACACTGCGCAACTCAGATAATACAATATATGACAACCGTCTATAATAAAACAGCAGTCTTCTGCGTATCCTGAATTTGTATCCCTGGAGTGGATGTTATTTTGGAACTTTCAACTGGTCCGAGTGAGCTAACTGATTCTTTAGCAATAAACTGTGACTCCAAAAATAATATTGACTGACACTGACAGCAGCAAGCAAAATATCAGGTGCGTTTTAATCATCCGCTTCTGCTTCCGGAATTGTCGGTTCAGTCGTTCTAACCTGTCAGATTAAAACAAGAAAACCGACAATTCCGAAGCAGAAGCGGATGATTAAAACGCACCTATTAAAAATATTGCGCCAAGGTGTAGGCATCACGTAATAAGGGTTCAAAAAGGCAGAATTTTCTATCTCCTTTTAAAAGGCACTCAGAAAGCTGCGCAGTGCGACCATTCTCCGTATAGTAAAAGAAAATCAAAGTATGTGCATCCAGTTTAATATCAAGGTCAGTGGTGACGATAGGGATCCGGTTTAAATATGTTCTAAAAAAAAGGTCCTCATGTTGTTTTAGTTGTTTTAATAAGCTTTGAAAAGTCGCAATGACAATTTGTTTCAAAAAAGGACTGTAGGTCAACCATTTCAAATTAGTTGAGATCTCTAATACATAAAACACAAAACGTAATTGCAGAACAATAAAAATAGTATGATATTTATCGCTTAATGTTAATGTCTTCGCGCATTTCGCTTTAAAAACAAAAAGCAATAGTTTTAAAAAGCACCTTCCTAATAATAGTGTTTGGGGCTGCACAAAAAAGCTTGGAGAGCCGCACAAAAGAGCTTGGAGGGCCGCAGGTTGAGTATGGCTGATCTAGACGCTTGTTGAGTCAGTGCCAGTTGTGTAATTGTGTTAGTTTTGTAATTTTACCATATACAGCGTTATCAAACTGGGACACATACACATACTTTGATTTTTCTTTTACGGTACATAGTACAACCCTATTGAAATATCTGTAATGCATGTCTTACGCGTTGTCAGTATTGCCAGGCCCTGTCAACCGAAAATCGATAGAATTATCGATATTAATCGGTAGATCTCAGCAAAAAACGGTAGATTTCAAAAATCAAACGAAATTTGTAGAATACAAAGTTTTTTATACTAAAAAGTAACACAAAAATTCTAAAACACACATTAACTAACATTTTTCAAAAAGGAAAACTTAAAAATTATATCAGCAACTATCAGGCAAAACTATTGCCATATACTCTGATAGCCAAGCAGTTCTAAAGGCATTGCTCTCACCACAAATCAAATCACGACTGGTGAAAAATTGTTTAGAAGAGCTAAGTAGTCAAAATAAGGTGACCCTAGCCTGGGTTCCAGGCCATGAGGGATATCAGAGCAACGACGAATTAGCCCGTGAAGGCTCACATAAGGCCATGACAAATCCTTATGGTGGAGTTGCTAAGGCATTGTGCAAGGCATCCATTAAACAATGGATGCAAAAAGAGTCTCAGGAATGGTGGAACAACTATCCAAGAGTGAGACAGACCAAACAGTTCATCAATGAACCATCGGCCAAGTTCACGAAAGACCTACTGGATCAAAAGCGTCAAACCGTTAGGATAACCGTAGGCCTTCTTACTGGACACTGTCGCCTCAAAAGGCACATGAGTGTCATCAATCCAGCAGAAGAAGCAACTTTGTACAGGTTCTGTGAAGAAGAAGAGGAAACATAATTCCACGTCTTGTGCCAATGTGTAGGCCCGGCTGGAATGAGGTTACTAACATTGGGCGAAGAAAAGCCAAATGCATGCAACTACATGCGGGAGCCACTGTCAAAGCTACTAAGTCTAATAAAAAAGACCAGGCTAGACGACATACTCTAAAACAAACGAAGTCCCACAATAGATCTGAAAAAGTCGCGGTGGACAAGGACAAATAACGTCCAACTCCTAATCTAATCAAAATCTAATCATTTTTCAAAAAGGAAAACTTAAAAATTAAATTTAAATCGTGGAAAATAAAAAACAAAACCCATTAGATAATTCATATTTTTAAAAGAAAAAACTTAAATAATAATAAAGGGACATTTTTCACAAAATTTTATTATTAGAAAACTCTATAACTGCAAATTGTAAAACTATCGAATTAGGAATTTTCTTTTACTTTCTAAAATTTCTCTATTCATAACTTCGTTGCTTGTGATTCCCCGATCCCCGATTGCTAGTGTATTTTCCCCTATACTAAGTGCTGTCCCTTCGTGCCGCAGGTAGAATTAAAAGTCCAACGAGAATATAATATTAGGCAATTAGGATAGGCGTGTGTAGAGTGTGTTGCATAAAAGGACATCTCATCGTCAGAATTAAGTCCAAGTTCAACGCGTTGTCAATTACAAAAAATACAGCCCTGACCGATAATATTTTCAGATATTGTGTTTAAAAATGGGTTCAGAGTGCGGTAAAGAATGGTGGAAAGTCTATAGTTTGTTTTACTTTTGATGCATAATATTTTAATAAGTATTAAACAAATATTTAAAAGTTATGGATTTTTCACAATTTTTTATAGTATTTAAAAGCTAAAACGTAAAATACACTTTTTTGCGCTAATTATTTCAGAAAACTTGTGTTAAGATTTAACTATCGATGAGCTGACGCCAATTTGCAACCGTGCTAATTCGAGACATACGTTTTATTAAATTCATCGTGTTACTTATTTGTTGACATTAAGAGATATAAATTTAAAGTGACGTCTTGTATTACTTCGAATTAAAAATCGTTTTCTAACCTAAGAAAAGGGTTGAGTTGGGTCTTAAGAAAGTTTGTCAAAAAATACAAAATATATATAGTTAAGAATAGGTACTTTTTTGGAACAAAATGCAATGTTAAGTGAATGTTTGTATAATATAATCAAAGATTATTTAAAAAATTGGTAGATTGCCTAAAAAATCGGTATATCGGTAGATTTCTATAGATTAATATCAAAATCGGAAGATCTACCGATTAATCGGTAGCAATGGCATCACTGGGCGTTGTTGATTAAGTCGTAAAAGCCAGGGTGCAACTGCCTATCTGCGCTTCCTCCCCCCCCCCTTTCCCCAAACGACGCCCATGCTCGTTCAGCGGTATCGATAACTACTTTAATGTTTTAAACAATTTCAAACCCTTTCTTGAAATGATCCAATGTCGTCCATGTTAATGGATCAGTTTGTAAGAAGCTCATATTAATATTGCAGTGTTGTTAGCATTTTTATTAGGAGATATTATCAAAAAATGCCATACCCACGTTTTTAGGGTTTAAATACCATAAATGTTTTTGCATTTTGAAGAAAACTCAAAAACGGATAAAGAGAAACATACTTAATTTTATACTTAAGCTTTATTCCGGCCTGAGGTGAACAAATTAGATTTTGGGCAGAGTCGGGACATCTGGGGATAATTTATATTTTTTATATTTTATGGAATATATTTGTTATTTACGTTTGGAGAAGAAAATTCCTTGAATAAAAGTTACTTGTAATATTATTCTCTATAATTCTTATCCTATACATAATTTCTCTAAAATGGACCGTATTCGAGATATTTGAGAAACAGTGTAAATTTAGAATTTTTTAAGAAAACTCAAAAACGAATAAATAAAAAACCATCAAACTTTAAATATAGGCTTCAATCCATCCTGTGGTAAAATAATTAAATTTTTGGGCATAGTCGGAAAATCTGGGGGTACTTTTTTCTAATTTTTGTTATTCTCTATAATTTTATAATTTTTTTTATATAATTTTCTTAAAATGTTTCGGATAGGAAAGTCATGTGTTGGACACATCAGATTTTTTTCTAAAACTATCACCCTTGGAATTCTTCTGAACGATCTCCATAACTCGTATGGGCTTTCGAGTTTGGTAATGCAATGCTTCTTATATCTTGCTGGAATGGGCTTTATCACAAAAAACTAAATTACGGAATATTGCTCGAAATCCATTTTCTCGAAAAATATTTGCTCGAAAACATTTGCTCCAAAACATTTGCTCGAAAAAACAAATCCTCAAAAATGTATTTGCCCGAAAAAAAAATTATTCTCTCGCTTCAAAAAATGTATTCGTCACTATTAAAACAATATATTATTTTGGGGAAAACTAAAAAAAAAAACATAAATAACCTATTAAAAAAATAAAATTATAAAATAACCCCTTCAACATTGTATGTATTGTTAGAACGGTTCATATATTGAACATAATGTTTTCTATAATACATGCAACTATTTCATCGACCCCGGTACTAAAAGAACTAGTTTTAAGTTACCTTGAATAATTCTAAACATTCTTATAAATTTAACAAATGATCTAACAGACTTCATTCACGGCTCAAAATATACATAATACGGGTATTATATACACATCAACATTTAATTCCATATAAACGTATTCTGTCATTTTCAGATGAATACAAGTGATGGAAGATGACGATGATTTCTACGATACGATCTCAGTTAATTCGTCCGTGCCGGGTAGAAAACGTTTCAAAGACTACCTCAGTTTATCCAGGAATACCATTTACCGTTCGATCATGGATTTCGATGACGGTAACAACGTGGAAATGGCGAGTCTGGATCAGAATAAGGTGCCAATTAATAGAGATGTTAAAACATACGAACAGTGGAAAAATAGGGTATCGTTTTCTTTTTCCTTGTGAGTTTTGACCAATGCATGGAATCTCACGGCTTTACTTACACTTTCTTACCTTATTTCGACACTGTCTTTTTTTTAAATTTGTGTAGGTGGTTGGTTTTTTTTTTAAGGTTGGTTACAAAGTTTGATTACGTATTTTTAAAAATAACTAATAACTGATTTACATAGATAGGACGTATCGGCAACATGTTTTGACTATTATCTTTAATTACGTTAATTACCGGTAAATAGCTGGCTAGCCCATTTAGGAAATCGAGAATTGTACTTGAATAAAAATATTTATTACTTTTTTTGGTAAATTTATTTCAAAATTATTTTAATTAACTGGTAAATAATAATTACTTTGTTCTAAACAATATTTTTAAAATAATTAAAACTAAAGTATAAAACCCTTTATAGGCCAGTCAATGAAGACATCTTATTTTGAAAATTTTACATGAATTAGAAAAGTTTTCAAACTCGGCTAATTTAAATAACATTTTATTTTAAATTGCAACCATTCTCGAGGTCGGGAAATAGTAAATTTATAGAAAAATAGCGCTTTTGTTAATAATTTTGAGAAAAAATTGCAAATCGGGTGATAATGTTTTATTTAATAAATAACAGTACATGGCATTAATAATAAATATTTCGCATTAATACACATTTCATTTATTTATAGAAATAAATAATTAAGCATATTGTAACGTTTATTTATTAAAAACAGTTTAGTATTTAATTTATTTGCAACCATATTTACTAATTTATTTACTTAACATAAAATAAGTGTATATCACACTTATTATTCTAATTTACTAAAACAACCTATATATTAACACATCGATATCTTATATTCAACTGAACTCAAACGGCAAAATAATCTATATTTAAAAATATTACACTCCAGACAATTCCAGTCCTGTCTCGTAGACTTCTAGATACTTCTCGATCATTGAGATATACTGGGTCTTCAACAATACCGAAAACCCACGTGACCAAATCGTCATGACAGCGATTGGTGAAAATAAAAGTAAAAATCCCTAGATGTGAGCCAGTGCCGTAAGTATTTTATTACAAAATAGATATTCTTCTTTTTTTTTATGGTCTGCAACTGCGAGAACAAAATTCAGTTAGGTAACTGTTAGAATTACAACACAAAATCATAATATTAATTAGAGGTGCTTTACATTATTGTATTTTAATGTTAGAATTCGATATTTTAATTACACCGTTCATACCTGTTTTTTTTTACTAATTTATTGGGAATTTGCAACATGTTAATTTGCACATCTTCAACATCTTTTGTTATTACTTTGGGCCTTTTAGAGCTTCTTCCTTTTTTATAATTTTGACCCAATATTTGTTTGTGACGACAAAAAGGAATCACATTCCATTTATTCACCTGGAAAACGTTCCTTAAATTTTGAAATACAATTACGAATATAAAATAATTTTGTTCCAGTGTAACATTACCTGAAATAAATGATATACAGTCATTAACTTTTACGAGTTACAGTAAATAAATTTGTACTTACCAACAAAAAAGAATTAAACCACCAATAATCTCTAAAAATAACTAATTGCTCTATTAATATTAAATGAAAAATGGAATAAAGGTGTTTATAAAATGTAAACAAATATAATATAAATATTCTTAGTCCCCAAATGAACGCCAGTGACATTTCTGACAGGACTGACAGTTTAGTTTAGTTCCTTTTACGTCAAATCAGGCCCTTTCGATGGGTTTTTGATGGTTATCAGATCACGTGGGTTTCGGGTATTGTTGAAGACCTGGTATTAAATAATATGTATGACGATACTGATGGAGCAGTCATTATTTGTGAGAATAAATGCCATTTTTTTTAAATAACTTCATTTAAATATTATAAAACTATAACTATTTTCATTCTGCCAATCTTCAAATATAAAATTATTGACAAATAAATCAAAGTACGACTTTAAGTCGCCATTTTGGCATCGCTGAGTGCGTTCATCTGTTTGTTTATAGTGTTTGCCTCAGAGCAATTACTACATACTACTGAAAGAAACACATTTTAAGTAGGTAAATTTTTAGAGAGTTGATGGTACCTGAACATATCTAATCTAACGTATTCTCCCTTTTCAATATTAGGGTTTTTGTAGTTGACACGAAAATTTATATTTTATTGTAATGCGAGCTATTTCATTATTCAGTCATGCTCTATCCTCCAAGTAACTCTCTGTCTTATTTGACCTTTAAGGCTCAACTTATTCGATTATCATACATAATTAAACCCCTTAAGAGCAAACAAATGTGACGATTATGGCGAATGCGCTTTCGCGTAAATTCCTGAGTCAATGTGATAATGTTTCTAGTATATTCCAAATATAACGAGATATTTCTAGTTTGGCGTAGGAGCATTGTGGAAGCCACCAGAATTTTAAATTTGTATATAAATATTGGTGGAGGATCAATGCAGGAATCAGTTGTTATAAATAGTGAACAGTTTAAAGTTATTCGAAATATATATAAATTAGAACAGTATTGTTTAAAATAAATAAGTATTTAAATAAATTATCACATTATTTTTGGGTCTAATAAAAATTTAAACATAGGTCATCAAAGATAAAAATACATAATCTTAAAGGATCATCAAAAATTATTAATGGTAAAACTTCAAACAATAATTAGATTCTTAAACAAATGTCTTGTGTTTGTTTTGCAAAAGACGTTTTTGCCTTCTTCTGTTGCCTTAGCCACTTTTCTTTTAGGAGTTTCAAGGAGAATTTCACTATGGAAACCAAGAGATTAATTAAACATTACTAACTTAATGAGTTACTTGAATATGAAATAGTAAAATAGGAATTATTGAATATTAATAATCTGTGAATTAATTAAAGAATTATTCCAGTTGAAAAGTATCCCAAATTATAAATCGCTATATAAAATTTTATTCGTCACTTAAAATCATTTAAAATCATTTAATTATTTCCACAAAAAAAATAACCTATGGTTGCCAGAAATTTAAATTACATTAAACTAAATCCCTAAAGGAGGGCAAAAAAATTATTCACTGATGTGGTGGATCTCAACAATAAATTAACAACCTAAATCTCATATGCCAAATATTGTAGGTTATATCAAAAATTTTAATTACCTTTTAATTCTTGGTGATCCTGTTGGTAATAAAATATAAATTCTTGATGGTTCAGAAGGTGGAAAAAATGATAATATTCAGTTTCTATATGCACATTAAATTATAAAATTAAAAATTTACTTAGGTAGGAACTATTAGTGTAAAAACCAACCATTAAAAAAAAACTTTCAAGTTTCTCTGCTTCAAGTCAGAATCTTTAGTAAGCAAAATCAAAGCTCACTTACCTAGTGCATGGAATAAAAACCAGACTGAATTTTTAAACTAAAAATAATTCCAAACTCAAATGTGACCAACAAATAAAATACATTTTATGAAGCTCCATTTTCATTAAGTAAATAAAATAAAAAAACATTAGAATTCTTATCATAATTCCCTTAATTCCCAATCTATTTATAAAACCATATTAGAAATTGATAGAAGTAAAATTATCACATTTGTTGGTTTATGTGTTTACACAATCATTATTTAGTAAGAAACACAACCCACCCACATAAACACTCATGGATGCGGTATGTAGTTGTAGTTAATACCGTAGAATAAGCATTAATTAAATTTATGATTTTCTTAAATAATTAATTACCTAAATTTACTATAAAGGTAACCAGTAACATTTATTTGAATATTAGATTATTCAAAAAAATTTTAAATAATTATATAAATATAATTTTTTAACAAATCAAAATAGGGTTAAAGCTTCTGTTAAAAATGATTTAAAGTCTAATTTCACTTCAAAAATATATAATTTGCATGGTGTATTAAATAGATTAATTGAGAATGTTATTCATATTCTATTTTTAAACTTAATATTACAGAGAAATGAATGCACTGGTAAACATATAAAATGTTTTTAATATGCACTGCGGTATATTCATAATAAAAAAAAATTATTAAAAATTTTAAGATAAAACAAAAGTTTGAATCCTTAAGATCAACGTCTACCTACAACTTTATTAATGGAAATTTATGACTTTAAAATTTAAATTTATTTAAATAAATGTGTTAAACTTATAATTGCAATAAAATCCTTGCAGAATTGCTGAAAATAATCAATTTGAACACTTTTGTTGTGTTTACTGGATACCGTTCTTTAAATACATCAAAGCTCCGTTTGCTCCATTGATATCGTTTGCTTGATGTCACGTGACGCATCATCAAAACAATATAGGTACAGTGCTTGTCGACTCATTTATTTTAAAGATTATAGAAAAAGGTTTGAACCTGTTGATTTTTAAACTCATTGGCCCAGACAGCACAAAAATTTAATATTTAATGCATGTTTTAATTGCATACTCCTATATTCCATGAATATGCCATATCCGCCATTTGTAATCTGTGGCCATGGCATATGATAGGAAGATTGCAGGAATATTAAAAGTCACCATGAAACATATGCCCACGATATATTTTTATCTGCCAAAATATATGTATGGCATTTTCTCTGGATTTACTGAAGATATCCATGTATGTCTATATTCATGGTATTTATAGAATATTCATGACATATTGAATTTTTTTTACTTCGGGCGTAAATATCTGAAAAAAAATTCAAATCAATCTGTAAATTTATTGTAAAAACCATTTAATGAATTCCACCACAATATATTGTTATATCCAAATGTTTGTAAGAGTGTATGTAACCAGCCTTTCTTTCTACTGATACTGAAAAATATTTTTTATATTTAAAAATATTTGTTTCGTCAGTTTAGGACACTATATTAACTCATTAGGTGAGTTCTATATATTTTTAATTTTTTGACACATTTTATTTAAATTTCCAAGCACATGCATGCATGTAATTGTCGTGCACTTTAAATAATGTATCTAGAGCTTACACATGGCTTACACCAACTTTTAATTTAAACAAAATTAAGTTCAATCTGTAATAAAAGGTCAAATATAGTAAATCATGAATGTTTTTTTGTACAAACAAAAAGTCCTAATTTTAATACAAATTATTTTTATTAACTAGCATTTTTAAAAGATTGACAAGTTAATTTCTTTTTAAGTTTGCCCATTTAAAAGAAAAAAAAAACGTTTTGCGCTATTGTGATTTGTGAATCATAAGTTTAGAAATTATACAGGGTGATTTAAAATTGAGTGCAAAGCTTATATGAGCGTATTTACCAGTCAAAAATAAGAAAAAAAAAATTATATAATCGTATGTCCTAACTTGCTTCATTTTCTAGATACAGGGTGTCAAAGTTTTTTAAAAAATCGGTTTTTTTACCAATTACTTAAAAACCTTTCGGCCGATTTAAATAAATTTGGTTGGCTTATTTGTCGTCATAAGGGCCTTCCTTTGGCGAGAATAAAATGAATTTATTAATTTCAGCAGCGTCTCAGGGGGCTACTTACTTGATACTTATAGGTAAAATTATGGTACAGCACTGCTTTTATGACAATTATAAAGACCCCTAAGAAACATCTGATTTAAAATGATGAAAATTGCTAGCCGGGAAAGTGTCACCCCCTTCCTTTCATATTTATCATGAAGGCACTACTTACTACTAAAAAAAGCTGGATACCTACCACAACAATCAAGATAATAATTTTTTCCTTGTTGGTGTAGATCCAACAATAAAAGAAGTAGTGTATAGAGAAAGTAAAAGTTGAAAAGTCTTTTGGTAGGTAGAGAGGGGGTAAACGTCAAACCACGTCGGGCGGCTCCGAGAATTTCACAGTAATGTTTACCTGCCAGTGTCGTTTCATAGAATAAGTAATTTTAAATTGTTATCGGCGGAACCGGACAATCGCATGTATTTATGGATTATAAATAATTATTAAACATGTATTATAATATTCAAATTATAATTTTATAAAATTTCAACAGCTATTCACAATTTATTAAACTATTTACTCGAAATTGTTATTAAAATCTATAAAATAATTTTGTACGCCAATGTATGGCGTCCACTTCGGTGAGATCCGGTGCCAACCTGTCAATTTATGTGTATAAAGTGGGAGAACTGGCAAAAGCATTTCCAACTTTTACTTCTGTTCTACATGTACTCATTTTGGCCAAAAAATGTATGCTTCTTAAGAAGGGTCAACATTTCGTCTACAATCCCGATGGTTACAGAAAGGATCTGGATCGTTTTTAATAGCAGACACGAAATTAGAACTGAAGACTATTTGCCTTCTAAAGTTCTCAATACTACTAAGTCATTCAGGGGTTTAGCGGGAGCTATGTCCATCTTTCATTGGAATGTTCAATGTTTACGAAACAAAATCTTAGAAATCGAAAGGTTTAATATAAAAAACATATCTATTAAGATAATCTGCATCACTGAGCACTGGTTAAACAATCATGAAAAAGATTGTTATAATTTAATGAATTATAGAATGGCTAGCAGTTTTTGTCGAAGCATGTATAAAAATGGAGGTTCATGTATATATGTGCATAAATCTCTAGAATTTATAGAGCTAACAAATATTCTCACCTCCTCAGTGGAGAGAGTGTGTGAATTTGCAGCTTGCTATGTAAAACAAAAGAATATTACAATAATCTCAATTTAAAGGTCTACTTTTTACCATAATTTGAGCCATTTAATGGACATATTGCTCAATGTTCTTGAGCTAACTTATAACTTCAAGAAATCTTCTAAAAATAAATTACTTATAACAGGAGATTTCAATGTAAATTTTTTAGATCCAAATGACCAAAATGCCTCTAATATTAAAAATCTTTTTTATGCTACAATCTGCATCAAGCAGTTCACCAAAATACTAGATACAATAAATATTTTTTTATAAATTTTGACATAACTGTATCTGTAATTGAAATGGGTGTCTCGGATCATAGGGGACAGCAAGTAGAAACTCAAGAAACCTCTGAAATAAAAACCAACTTAACTTGTATTAGAAATTATTATTCACACAACAATATTGAACTATTTAAATTCTGAAAAATGGCTAGAAGTTTATGATGCATATTTGGCGAAAGATAAATATAATGCTTTTATTACAATCTTCGGTTTATATTACAATACATGTTTTAAATCCAAACCTCAAATGCAGAATAAAAGGAAAGGCTCTTATTGGATTTCTCCCACAATTACTGAGGCAAAAAATGGACTGCTGTTTTTGCATGAATGGCAAAAACAGCATCCTAGTACTCAAAATTTTCAATTATATAAAGATTATAAATTAACATATTTAAAAATTTTGGGAGCAGTGAAACATGATTTTTGCAATAATTATATATTAAATTCTGATAATAAGGCAAAGGCTTTGTGGAATATTATTAACAAAGAAATTGGTCGAAATAAAACTAATACAAAGCCAGAAAATTTAACTCCTGAAGATCTTAATAATTTTTTTATTAATAATGCGGAAAACATAATTCAGAATCTAGAGAAACTAGATATACCTGCTACTTCCTTTATAAATATACCACAATTAAAAAATTCAATGTTTTTTCAGCCAATTACCCAAACCGATATAGAATCAATTGTAAAAGATTAAAAAAATAAAAAAACAGACGATATTGATGGATTTAATGTATTTATAATGAAAAAATGTATTTCTTTTTTGTCTAAACTATAATTATAAATGAAGGAATATTTCCAGCATGAAAATTGCTAAGGTCTGTCCTTCCATTTAAAAAAGGAGACCCTTCTCAGCCTTGCAACTTCAGACAAATTGCTGTAATTCCCATGTTCTCCAAAATCTTGGAAAAAATTATGTATAATAATCTAATAGCATATTGAAATTTTCCCAACATACTCACGCCATTCCAGTATGGTTTTAGAAGGGAGCGATCTACAATAGATCCAGTATTATCTCTAGTACATATAGAAAATTGTTTTGAAAAAGCTGAAAATTGCAAAAGTTCATTGATGCATATCAGGAGAGGTGTCCCTCAGGGCTCAATTTTAGGTCCATTGCTCTTTTTGATATACGATCTTTCTGACCATATGCATTTTGAAAACCTTATTACAAGTATATTTGCTGATGATACTTCTTTTTGCATTAATACTTAAAGAGGAACAGATCATGATCAAGTTTACTCTGATGTCATGATTCAGGCAAAGAGGTGGTTTTCTGTAAACGACCTGTTTTTAAATGACACAAGAACTATCTCCCAATTATTTACAGTAAATAGTGAACAAGTTAATAACAATTCTGTTAAAACACTTGGCATTCAAATTGATTCACATCTCAGATGGACTGATCATATTGAAGCACTTTGTTCCAAATTATCACGAGCAGTTTTTGCTATCAGGAAAATACGCCAAATAAGTGGTCAAGATGCAGCAATTACTGCTTACTGTATTTCATAGTCATTTGACATACGGGACAATATGTTGGGGCAATGCTGCTGACACACATATCTCAAGAGTCTTTATTTTGCAAAAATCAGCCATAAGAGCCATAACACGTGCTTCTTGGCTAACCAGTTGTAGACCAGTATTCCCAGAACTTGGAATTATGACACTCTATGCAGTAATAATCTATCAAAATCTTCTATTCGTAAGAAATAATATTAACACATTTTTTCCCACTCAGATATCCATAACTATAATAAAAGGCACAAAGATAACTTAGTCCCTATCCAGTATAGACTGGAAAGGACAAAGAAATATTATATTGAGCTATACAATATACTACCACTTAATTTTAGAAATCAGCCTATAGATAAATTTAAACATGCATTAAAACAAATGTTATCTAATAATTGCATATATAGCTTAGAGGAATTTAAATCAATACAGATGGAGGATGGAGGCTGTCACTGTGGCCTCTGAGTGATTCAGTGAACTATGTTGTAAATGTTTTGTAAATTTCAATTTTATATTTTTATATTATTATATTTACGTAAATTTTATTATATACAGGGTGTCCCAAATTGTTTTACCCAGGCTATAACTTCTAAACCATGCAAGATAATCGAACCGGACAAAAGTCATCCATTATAATTGGCGGTGTACTTTGAAACAAATAAAAATTTGACGACCCACCCTCAAACACTACCTCCCTGGAACAACCCCCTCAAAAATTATTAACGACACACTAATTTTTTTTCTGCACATTTTTGTATTCGTTAATTTTCTCTGTACAACTGTTTTTAAAATTTTGAAATTGACTACAAAAATAAGCAGAAAATAATTTTTGAGGGGGTTTTTTCAAGGGGGTAGTTTTTGATGGTGGGTCATCAAATTTTTATTTGTTTCAAATTACACCGCCAATTATAATGGATGACTTTTGTCCGGTTCGATTATCTTGCATGGCTTAGAAGTTACAGCATGGGTAAAACAATTTGGGACACCCTGTATATATTTAGTTTTAATTGTAATTTGACGAGTCATAAAATGTAATATTTTCTCAGGTAAATAAAGATATTGTATTATATTGTACATTATCACTTATCACAAATATGAACTCCGGGAATGTCGTAGACAATAATAAAAACTTTCGTGTTCTTCAATATCTACAACCAACTGAAATAATTTTAACTCTCATGCATGTCTTCTATTTAGGAAACTTTTACTTAATTGAAAATATTTATGAACATATTTTCTTTCGTAACAGAGGTGGAGAAATTTCTCAAGCCGTGACTTGAGTGTCGACTTCGTCCTAGCCTACGATGACCAAGGTAAAGATTCCGATATACAGAAACGAGTCATATTCGAGCACAGTTTGGAAACTACCGGTCTGATACTGGAGAGAGAAGAAAATCAACGGATACATTTCGTGAAAATTCATGTCCCAAGAGAAGTGTGTAGCAGATACGCCGAGGTTCTTAAATTGAGGTTACCAATTAGAGATGTAAGTATAATTTTTGTTAAAACAGATTGTTATATGGTGTCTATATGATACAACTGTAATAAACTTGGCCGAGGGTTGATAATAAAGTCACACAGATTAAATATCCACTCAGGATTATTTAAATAAATCAGGATTTACTTTAGAATTAGTTTTATAGAATTAGCAACACAGTGGGCTTCACACAGAACAATTAATAATAAAAAAATGTCAACTGTCATATATCATTGTACAGTACCAACTTAAAATATTAAATATTAGTTAGGTATTTTATATATATATATATATATATATATATATATTTTATATATTTTATAACTTTATTTTATTTTTTAAAATCGTTTTCCATTTCTTTCTTTGTTAGGTTGATCTTCCTATCTTATTACTGTTCTGAACATGTTGAACTGTGACATTTCTTTCACAACATTTAAATTTCATTAAGCTCATTTCGTGCTTTCTCTAAAAAATAACTATTTTTATCTTGAGGTCATAAGTAGATATCTATTTATAAAATTTCTTCAAAGCTATTATGAATCAATAATAATGAAAGAAAAATAGCTCAGAAATTGTGTCATACAAAATTGTGCGACTGGTGTTGAATTATATCTAGAGGAAAACAGTAAACAGAAAATTATTTTGAACACTGCAGGTTTGATTTTGCTAAGAAACACATCATTCTTGGATAGGTTTCATCCATATTAAGACTATTCAGCAAGAAATAGACATCCTTACCTTCAATCCCTAATAGAAACTGAAGTAGGTGAAATTCACTAGTATTTTTAAATGTATTTCTCTCTCTAATCTAATAATACTATTTTAGTATACCTAAGTATATTTCAACATTTAAATAAATAACAATTGAACAAGTTTAAACTTGTTACTGCTTGCTACGTTTTCTATATTTACAAAATTTCAGCTGAGATCTAGGATTTTTATTTGTACAGATATAAAAAGGCAATATATTTAAGTTACACATATTTATAACCAACATAATTTATTTACAATATTAATTTGATGCCTTCTATCATTATAGAAAATAGAAGATTCGGGGAAAGTAAGTTTTTAACAGTGACTTTGATTGATTTTTGTGTGTATTTTGCATTTACAGCACTATTTATTATATCAAACACCAATTTAATTTTAATTATTAGAGGTTACTGTATAATTAGCTTAATTGTAAATAATCAAACTACAAGAGTTTACTTTTGCTTTGTTATATAATTAATTTACTTATTATTATTTTTAACGAAATACTCGTGTTTTTTTTTATCTTGATGTGTATTTGATAAAATAATTACTTACATAGTTTGAATCACTAAAATATTTTAAATATATTAAATTCACATTTTTATTTCATTGGAAAATATTAAAACGCTTGTTTTTTTCCTTCTCATAGCTTCATTGTGTGATTAAAGGATGGTCATAGATGGAGCTCTAAGTCATTCATGTCAACCACTATAATACCCATAAATTATAAACATTTATTAATACTACATCTTCCTCAAAAATTCTGTTCTACATTTCTAGAACCACTCGAGTTCTGTCTATTATATTATGTTCTCTCTGTAGGAAAAAAAGTAAAACTATCAGATTTTAAATATTTGCCAAAATGACTTCAACTGTTCCCAGACTAATTTGACCGTGCTATATCTTCTAGTTCTGCACTGTTAAATAATATATTTGAGGAGGACATGGCATTTATATTATTTCCAGTGTTCTTCAGTAAGGTTATAAAAAAACATTCCCAAATTAAATACTCATAGGTAAAATTTTACATAACATTAGATTTTTACCACATTTTAAAGTCATTAATGGTATTCACAAATTTTTATCGAAATATAACATAAATAATGAAAATTGCAGTGTCGTACATATTCATTGAAAATAGGTATGCATAAAAATATCGAATTTTATTTAAAATACAGGGTGAATCAAACTTAAGGGCTGGATATAACTTCAAAAACAATTTTAAAAAACTATTAATAATGGAGGCCAGAAAATGTTTTGTTTCGAATATACAGAGTGTTAAAGTTGGAACTTTGAAGAGGCTTCTTCTTTTTAATTTTCGAAACGTCAGGTGATAAGAAAGTGAAATTTTGTGGAGTTTATAAGTTTTTTATGCCCAATGTAATAAACAAGTGTAAAATTTTTAATTTTACTCAGACTCGCATCAATTAGGGGTGGGTAAAGGAAAATATTGCCCCAACTATTGGGTAAGACACTGTTTACTATCTTTGACTCAAAAGTATTAAATTTGAGTATTTTTTACTTATTCTTGTCTTAAGACAATGACATCTGTTTTGATGTAAAAGCATCCTTGCAACTACATATTTACATCTTCAGTTACAATTTAAAGTAACTTAACTACTCGATGTTAGATGGCGCCACAATCAAATATCTGTAAACATACAGTACTCAACTTAATAGGATATTTTATTATACAGGGATTTCATTTCAAAACTAGCTACCCAAAATAACTTTTAAAATATCTTTAAAACAAAAAAACGAAAAAATAAAAAGTTAAGTTAGGATTTTTTTAAATATTTAACACCCTTAACCCCCCATTTTTATTCAGTTTTTTTTTCAGACTCACTAGGCTCTATCTCCTCATAGAACATGTTTTTATTAAAAATTTCATGTTGATATCACTTTTCGTTTTTGTTTTATGATTTTTTTATTTTAACCCCATCTTAAACCCCCAATTTTTATAAAAATTTACGAAATGACGAAATTTTCGCCCATATTATTGTGACACAGTTGAACTATTAGAGACATCACTGAAGCTCACAGGTATCCGAAAATTTATATTTGTTTAGCTTCAAGCGCATTTTTATGAAAGAATTAAAGACATTGAGGAAACTTTCTCTTCGACATTTATGAAATTTACAGTTGCCGAAAAGCTGAAATTATCAACTGTGTTATAAAGACCAAATTAAAACGCCTAAAAACAGAAAACTCCAGGTACTAAGACATTTTAGTGGCAAAATTGCTTATCACTTCAAGTTAAAAATTTGAAGACACTTCCAGACCAGTTCAAACACATTTTCGTTCACTTCCTAGATATTTCTGAAGCTTACAGGTTGATAAAATAGAAATTTCCAGCTTCTAAGACTTATTACCGATAAAATTGTTTATCACTGCAAATTGCAAATTTGAAATCATTTCCAGACTAGGCAAATGGTTGTATAAGAACAAACATACTTTTTTGTTCACATCCTAGACATTTCTGAAGCTTACAGGTTGCTAAAAACGGAAATTTACAGCTTCCAAGACATTTTACTGGAACGATTTCTTATTATTGCAAATTACAAATTTGAAAATACTCTTAGAAGAGGTAAAGAGACATAATAAATATTATATAGGCCTATTTGAAGCTAGAAAATTAATAAAAACTGCAATGTACCAGCTTCTGTGAGACTTTGAAGACCTTTCTAGTACAGATAAAAAGTGGCAATAAATAGAAAACTTCTAGACATTTTTAAAGCTTGTAAACACCTAAAAAGTGTAACCTAGAAACTAGTAGAATTGTGTGTCCTAATACAAAGAGGTGGGATACTTAAATCCGTCCCCTGATGGTCCTAAAAACAATTTCAAACCTTTCTAATTCTCCATGACCAACAACAGTATATCCTCCATAACGGTATGCTTATGATTGGGATAAAAAAAGTACTTAAGTATATTATAAAGACCCATGACTTGCGCAATTAGAACAAAGAAACCGAACACTACGTTAAAGAGCATTTGCTATGACCCGTAAACCTTTGGAGCCTTATGAATCATCTTGGGCACGTTGGCTTTGATGATGTGAAACAGGGCGTTAAGTCTGTTCAAATTACTCTAACAGTGCAAAAGATATAGCCTAGTCAAATTAGTCTTGAGTTTCTGTAAACAAACAATTTTATTTACTTAGAATTGTAAGCAAGCCTGCGCAAACACCTATAAACAGCGGAAGAACTATCTAAAAATTTGACACAATTTGTGGCATTATCCTATATTTTTTACTGAATTAAGTATTATCTATGACCACGCTTGTTTATGAATTAAAGCAAATTTAATTATACATATTTTTATAGATACACCTAAGCTTAACAAAACTGATAGTTATTTTGCATCAATATGATTCCGAATCTAATTGTATCATATTTTTTTCAGGAAGAACAATGTCCCATAACCAAGGAGAACATTGTATCACAAACAGCAAATAAAGTCTTGAAACGATTTAATGTGTTATTAGACCCCAAAAAGTTTCCTGAACAGAAAAACCTTTTAACGGCGGAATTTAGCAAGGATAAAAATTATTTGTAAGTAAAATATGTTTGTTAGGATTATTTTATCGAATTCTTGGAGTTCTCTTATGACGTTTGGAAGTTTTTCAGCTGTTGTATTTTGATGTCTTGATTAAATATTTACTCTTTATAGTTATATAGTCGTGAAAAGTATGTAAAATGAGAATTTTAATGCTAACTACAAGCCAAGTAATTATCTCCTTGGTCTGATATTGTCGCTGTGATGCCTGATAGTCGAGTTGATTTTAAAATTTTCTGTCAGTTTCAGAGTAACGCCAAGCTTTGCTTGCTAGTCGTCTACCTACTTCTGTCGACTATAGTTTATTCTTTCTATATACTTTTATTGATTATATTTATCTTACATTTGTTATGCAATGTTAAGCAATAGCTTAAGTGATATAATATCTTTCGATTGTTATATGTGAAATATCAAAATCTGTTTTGACAAAATATTGTGTATTCTATTCTGGAAATAATTTATCTGTACCTATATTTATGGTCATTTATAAGTTAAGAGGTAAATCAAAATTGTTTATAATATACAATACATTAACTGACGCATCAAGCAAAATAAAGACGATATGCTTAACTATATTTGGCCGTGAGAAGCATAAAGAGAGTAATTGGTTTAACCACGCCCTATGGGATATTGCGACCCGCACTTTGTGACGTAGTATTCTATTTATGTCTATTCAATAGCATTGTATTTCTATTCCGTTCTTCTAGAGTCAGGATTGAAAAGTTAACGTATTGTATATTAAAAGTATAAATGTATTTTGTAGCTTATTTAAATGTTTTGAATTTATAATTGATTTTTTTGCAGATTTAATATTGATGATCCAGATTTCTTCAATATATCTGTTAAAATAACTGTTATTTCATACATATTAGAGAGAGAAAAATTCGGAGAAGAAGATCAAGATAAGGGTATCAAAAGACTGATTACGGAAGGTATATACAAAGCTGCGTATCCTTTGCATGATGTAAGTATAACAGATAAAATACTGGGAATGGTGTAAACACTAAACATGGGTTGAATAATGAGAAAAGTATCAATATGAGTGTGAAAAAATTAAGAGGCTGGCATTTTCGGATTTACAAAGCCATCACCATAACCTTACTATATTAAATATTTCCAAAAAAATAAAAAGATGAAACGGTTAGACAAGCGCTGTTAACGTTGGTGTTAATTATAAAAATTTGATGTGTCAAGTTATTACAGGATTTTTCCAGTTATTTTATACATACATTTTTAATCGAAACATTTTTTTAAATATATTAATTTCCAACGAAAATACACTTTTTCTTAAATTTTTCCATTACGGTCCATTTTAGAGAAATCATGTAGACAACAAAAATTATAGAAAATTATATCTTAAACAAGTTTTATTTAAGCAATTTTCTTAAAAATTAAAATATTGCACGTTTAAAAAATACAAAACTCGTCAATGCCTGAAAATCATTGTATGAAACCAAAAAATATTATATTTTGAAAATAGTAAACGAACCTTATCATCCCAGGATCGCCTCGATAAATCTAAATTTGTCTTGTTAACCACCAAGTTCAGAAGAGAAATAAATGTCAATCGAAAAAATGTCTCTCGACTGACAGACACAGAATTATCAACCTAGGAAAAAGGTGAGGCAATAGAGGTGTCTAAAAAATAACGGTATGAAAGACATCCCTCGGAGTGTTGCCCGCCGATATCCACAGTAATCAAAGGTCACTGCAGGAAAAGATTTTATATGGGTTGTAATAGACTTTCATGTATGGTTCGAATTATCTTCAGAATAGATTAGAGATTCTACTCGAGCTAAGTACCTCACCTGATGAGCCCCAATTAAGGCGAAACCGTTCGTGGAATGTTAACTCCCTAAATGCCAAATCAAAGTCAGTCAGATAAAGTCAGTCGCGAACATGTTTTATAACACTGTAACCCAACGTCCTGTGGAGCAAATAGCCCTGCCCAGACAACACACATAGTCCAATGGACGTCCACTTTAGATCCATTTGAGGGCCAGAACATCCATATCCGTATTCGGACATTTATGATCATTAATTTGACAGCTGCATGTTGATGTCCAGAGGACGTCTGTTTTTGGACTTAATTTGAAGTTTAGTATTATTTTAACGTCCATCTTAGGTCATTATTTATTTAGCCCACCAGATAATACCCATCTATAAATATTTTTATATTTTTAATAGAATTGGTCGTTAAAAATCGACAAATTAAATCTATTACATTTCATTCTATCAGCGGAAGTTTGAAATCTTGTAACCGTATCTAGTAAGAATTTTTCATTTGGCTCCTTGGTCTAGGTCGCCTAGCACTTGAATGCCCAGAAAGACAATGAACGTGTCGTGAGTTCGATACCTGCTCCGGTCAAGTGATTTGCGGTTAGTGGGTTGCTAAAATAATAAATAAATTATTAATATTATATAACTAAAGAAAATACATAAAACTTTAAATTAATACATTTAAAGTAATCAATGACTGTCACTTGAAAGTGATTGAAATTTTGTATGCTAGCTTTTCTTATGCCGTGATAGTCGGTGTACAAAATCACCATGATCTAAATCACGATAAGTCAACGAAAATGACTGCTTGCTACGAACGGCCTATGAATCTTTGCAGGTAGTTTTTGAGTTTTATTGTTTTATGTTCTGAAGTTGTTGCAGATATTTAAATATTTTTACGTACGATCAAGGTCTGTGGTACGATCTCACTCATGCAATCTTACATCGTACAGACAGTTAAAAAATCGTATAAATACAATTTAAATCGTACGGTTGGTAACACTGAGACAGACAGTAGCAGTGCACAGCAGTGGACAGTTTGTAAATATAAATGTCAGTTAGTTTTATGTATATGGAAGAATCCTGAATTTAAATTTAAAATTTTGAGTTCATGATTGTATTATCCTCTAGATGAACTAAGCGAAATAGTTGTGGCTATTTTTGTGTGAAATTTGATGACAATAATTATTGAAGAAAATGTGTACTATTTACTTTGTTTACTTTTGTTAAAATTATTTTTATTATTAATTTATTATTAGTTAACTTTGGTAAAAAAAAAAAGATGTCAGTGTGATTTTTGATTTAGTCAAAAATAAAAAAGTCTTGTCAAGTTGAATTTAATTTTCTTTGGGTTATTTTCTGATTTGGGGCCTGTATACAGAAAGTATCTGATCACCGGTTAGGTGAGAGGAGAATTTATTACATTTGGCGACCGTGACAGGACTCCCAAAAACGACCAAAGACTGAATAGTAGATCCACTCAGACAGAAAGGGAGAAAACCGAAAAATCATTGGAATTGCAACGCAAGTCATTTGAACGAGCCTATGATACAGTTACTGAGTTAATTAGAGAGTCAAGTATTAACGTCATAGAAGTTCGAAGTAGTATGGCTCTTTTAGAAAATAAATTTAATATAATTTGTGACCTCGATAAACAACTTGTAGAACACCTCTTAAACTCCGATAAAGATACAGATTCCATTGATTCTGAAATAGCATTAGCTGATACCTACATTACCAAATTTCATAGTTTAAAGCCTGAAAGTAGAAAGCTTGCTATATAAAGACGACAACAGAAGTGTTCAATCTGAATTTTCTAACAGTCATTGTAAACATAAAATGAAATTACCCAAGATTGAAATGAAGAAATTTGGAGGTGATATTAAAGATTGGCTTCATTTTTGGGGTCAATTTCAACGAATCGACAGCGACTCAGAAATGGCAAATGAAGATTAAATTTTATTATTTGATACAATCTACAATCCCCGATTCTAAAGCCCGACAGATAGTCGAAAGTTTTCCACCAACCGCAGCCAATTATCATAAAGCTTTAGAAACTCTTAGAAGTAGATTTGGTAGAAAAGATCTCCTTGTTGAATATTATGTGAGAGAGTTGCTGAAACTTGTTCTAAATAATTTAAATAGTAAAAAGAAATTAAGTTATTTGTTTGATAAGATAGAATGTCAGCTTAGATCATTAGAAACGTTGGATGTAAATACAGAAACTTGTTCAGCAATGTTATATCCTTTAGTTGAATCATGCCTCCCAAATGATCTTCTTAAAGTCTGGCAAAGAAGCAGTTATTATAACGAAGAGCTCTCACTTAAAGATCGATTAGAAAATTTAATGTCATTTCTTAAAAAAGAGGTCAATAACGAAGTGAAATACAATATGGTTATTACTGGTTTTGAACTTAACAAGAAAAAAGACACGTCTACGGATAAAAATATGTTACCTTCTGCTAGTGCCTTAGTTCACCTAAACGAGAAGTGTTGCATTTTTTGTGAAAAATCTCATTTAAATGAAGATTGCCCAAATGCTATCAAATTACCATATGATGATCGAAAGCAGAAAGTTATGAGTAAAGGTTGTTGTCTCAGATGTTTGAAATTCGGACATATATCTAAGAAATGCCAAGTTCGAGTAAAGTGTTCCAAATGTAACGGTAGACACAGTCACATTATATCCCAGAAAGACTCCGATACAACACAAAAATCTGCGCCGGTTCCAATAGAAAATTCACTTTCCAATAGCACCTATACTCATGTTTTTCTACAAACTTTAAAGGTTAAATTAATTGGAGACAATAAAAATCGAAATGCTAGACTAATATTCGATACAGGATCCCAAAGGTCTTATATTAGTAAATGCGCTATTGCAGAAATGCAATATAGTCCTTTAAGGATAGAGCAGATGGTTCACTCGTTGTTTGGCGGAACAATAACCGAAACAGTATCTCATACATGCTTCAGAATTCGTGTAAGCAGTTTTAATGACAAATACGTCTGTAATTTTGAAGCACTAGATCAACAGATAATTTGTAATAATATTCCTTGTATCAAAAATGGACCTTGGATCGATGAACTTCGCTCATTTGGAGTAGATCTGTCAGATAGTGAAGATGGGCCAATAGATATTTTAGTTGGTGCAGATATTTGGGGCAAATTATTTACTGGAAAAAAACATGAACTCAGCTGCGGATAACTCAGCTGCGGATTAGTTGCTTATGAGACCATGCTTGGATGGACTTTATCTGGAAAGATTTTGTTTGCAGCTAATGCAGATTGTTCGAGTACTAGTACTGCTTTAATAACCTCGCTAGTTTGCAACAATCATAATGTAACTGATCTTTGGAGTCTTGACATATTAGGCATTACTGATCCTGCTGAGATTAAATCCAGAAAAGAAATAGAAGAAGCGGTGAAAAGCAATTTCTTAAAACAGTTTATATCCAGACTGATGGAAGATATGAGGTTTCTATGCCATGGATAGAGGGCCATCCTCCATTACAGAGTACTCAAATTTAGCATTAAAACGTCTCGAAAGTCTTATGAAAAAACTTAAAAATGATGGGTACTATGATGACTATAATCAGTTGCGGTTATGTAAAAAAAGTAGGGATGTGGTCTCAATGAAATATGTAATCCAGGAATGGACGTTTTTTGAATGTCCAGTATTGAACGTCCAAATATAATCCAGAATTGGACGTCCTATGAACGGTCAAAAGTATGTCATTTGTATACTTCACTGGACGTTCATTTGACGTCGAAAGTCCAGAAAAAACTCATCTTTGGACGTCCAGATATCCAAAATTGTTTATCGAGTGGGACGTCCAATGGACCTATTTGTGCTGTCTGGGTGGAAGTAGTTGTTTGTTGTAAAGCGGTATAATCGGTAATTCCTTCTATTTTAATTTTTTTATTCCATGATTTATTTGACTGATTTCTTGTTCCAGGGTGATCTCCATGACAGAACCTCAAAGCGGAAACTCCTTTTAGATGAATGGGCATCAGTGTCAAAATGCATTAAATATCAACCAATAGACGAAATTAAAGATATTTCGGCGTAAAATTGGCCCTCTACTTCACCTGGCTGGGATTCTATACTCATATGTTGATTCCGGCTTCGATAGTCG